ATAAAGTTAACTTTGGATTTGAATTGAATAATGCTAGCCACTACTGCTAATGGGTGGCTAGGATCAAGTTTAATCAGATACACTACAGTGTGGCTAATAATAAATAGGACCCACAAAGTGTTAATGTGTATCATCCTTACATATCAGACAGTGAGCACATGATCACCACATGCTGTCATGCACAGATTGACTCAGTAGCAAAATTGTAGAAATATACATGTACATAATGAAATTAATTACTATAAGCACATGAATATTGTGAATATTACATTAGACACACACACACATACACTCATCAATGGTGTACCTTCTTGTTAAGTAAATACTTGTAAATGTGTCTACAGAAAGGAAGAGACATCATTTCTGAATGTAACAATGCCAAACCAATAACCCTGAGAGAGAGGGAGAGGGAGGGAAAGAGAAAGAGAGAGGGATGATGTTAATAAAGTGCTAGAAAGGAGAGAAGTGAACATGTACAGTACAAGAGAGAGAGAAAGCAAAGAAGGAGAAACAGGTACATGTACATTCACTTGCCTCCCTATATTTCTTGGGAGTTACTCTACAATATGTTTTGGGATTACTTTATAGTAGGGAGTGTGGCATTGTAGACATTCACAAAATATAAATAATTTTAAAATAATTATGAAAATTAACAATAATCCAACTCCTTGAAAACAATAACAAGAATTTTTATTAATTTCTTTATGATGATTATACACTAACAGTGATTCCTCTCTCTCTCAAACTATACTTTTCTGAGAAATATTATTTTTTGAGTTATGAGCTATTTTAAAAACAGCTAATTTTCGAATAATACCCAAAGCTATAGTCTATGGTTTTTTCCAAAGTATGACCCTGAAATCAGCCAAATCACCTATAATTATTTTTACATTTTCTGATACAGATTGATGTACTAAGGCTATGTAGCAAGTTTGAACTGATCCTGAAAATTTCTTTCAAGCAACAGCCATTTTCAGAAACAGCAATTTTTCAAAAATACACAAGGCTATATAGTCCATGGCTTGTTCTAAACAATGGTAGCAAAATCACCCGAAATATTACTACATTTTCTGATACAATATTAATCTCTTTATGCAGTGTAGAAAGTTTCAGGCAATTCTGACAAATTTTTTTGCAATTAAAGAAAGGCTAATTATTTTATTCAAAAATGGCTCCAAAATCACCCTAATTTTTATTACATTTTCTGATACAGATTGATGTACTTGTGCTATGTAGAAACTTTAAGCTGATTCCGACTTCAATTCTTAAATTTACTACCATTTCTTCCAGAAATATTACCTCCAATATTTACTATTACTATCACTTACAGAGTAGCTGTAAGACACAGTCTTCCTTCCTCCACAGGTAGTGAAGGGGCGGGGGCAAGACTAGTCCATCTACTCAACCTATGAAGAATAATAAATAAATAAATAATAAAATCACATTACTTAATTGTAACTTATGTGAACCATAAAATTCCGAAAATAAAAATTCTCCAATACAACGTGTACAGAAGAAATGTAACTGTGACATACATACAAACATCACATGTAAGTAAAATCAAACAGCCAAGTCGTAAAAATTTATAAAAATCCAATTTTGATCAGAATCAGCTCAAGCTTTCCACACATCATAAAAACATGTACCCGTACATTATGTACCAGAAAATTATAAAAATATAAATTTTCCTCAATTTCATTATTATTTGGCACGATGTGACCCTGCAGAGACTTTGACCCCATTATTGAGCAACTTTAAAATTTCATAAAAAATCTAATTTGATCAAAATCAGCTAAAACTTCTACAAAACATAAGTAAATGTAGTCTTGAATAGCCAGACCCAATTTCCCTTTTAATAGTTGGAGGGTTAAAGTACATGTATATACAACTGTACATGCATCAGGAAAGGTATCGTGCTAGTATTAATAAAGCAACTTCATAAATTTACTTTTTTCTGGTCCTGGTCACTCATCAGTGTTGAGTGGTAAGAAATTCAAACACGAGCAATCTACATCTTGATAAGTTCCATTGGTCGACATTCAAGCCACGCCTACCTCAACGTGATACCACGTGTGTAAAATGGTGTCTATACCCCAAGTCCGCAACTAGCACCAATTAGTGATTGCATTACAGTCTGGAACTTATA